CTCCCTTTGACCCTGACCCACAAGCTCTCTGGTGACTCATTACCTGTCCCCAGACACAGGTCCATACTCTCCAGCCTATCACTGACATAAATAGCAACTCCCCCTCCCCGTCTGCTGGGCTTGTCTTTTCTAAAGAGCCAGTAACCTTCCGTTCCAACACTCCACAGGAAGTCATAGGAGCCATCCCACCATGTTTCTGTGATACTAATGATATATTCATGCAGCCATGCACACATCTCTAATTCCTCTTGTTTGTTCCCCATACTACGAGTATTTGTACAGAGGAATCTTAAGCCAAACTCCAGATGAAGCTGACTCATTAGCTGGAGCAGCTGAAATATCTCTGCATCGCTCCAAGCACTTATTACAGGTGCTGGCAACTGACTGGGAGTGTTGGGATGGATCGATGCCCTCCTCCCCTAACACATCAATGGTCATCAATGACAAAGCAAGTGGAGGGAACTGCAGGTGATCCATTTTCATGATGTTCAGCTCATACACAGGCCTTTCAATTCCTCCATCACAGCACTTAGCTGCCTGGAAATAAGAACACTTACTACAAATTTCTAAGGGGCACCCCAGATCTGCATTGATGTCTTGGTAAAGAGCAGCACTAATGAATGACCATGAACTTTGCTAAGGCCTTCAAATGCTGTGAATCCATTGCTAAACTGTTCTTGGATTTATCTGAGCCATTTCAGCTTTTTAAATCCAGCCCTAAGCTAAGCTCTCCCCTTTCTATCTGGACTCCCAAGTTCTGGTGTTCAAAGAAGTTGAGTCTCACACCTCTGGTCATGTCTGGGAATCCTCTAAGCTATTAGGAAGATCCTTAACTGTTGTTTTTCAAATTAACCTGTATTTGCCATTGATTAAGAATAGTAAAACCCTTGGGGGGGGGGAGGGGAAGAAAAATCAGAGTTTTTGAATTTCTCAAACTTCCACAAGTTTTCAAGAGATTCTCTGGCTTGACCATGTCTCAGAGGAGGTAAGGACTCTTGCTCCCTATGTCTAAATATATCAGCTTGTTCAGCAGCCTTGGACAAGGAAGTTTTTTTATACCACCAGAAAAACAACAAATTCCCCACCTAGAGTCTACCCTGAAATCACTCCTCATCTTACTGGTACCAACTGCTTCTATTGTTGCTTTTGACAGCTTTCTATTTATATAGCAGAGGCATTCGATGGGTAATATGAGACTTGCATTTAAATCAAAAACATCTGCAAACAAATACTTGGCAGGAATCTAAGGCATCTGAGTATGTGAGAAATAAATAATGACTTTATTAAAACCATTTCTTCCCTAACGCTTTTTTTTCCATTATTTACCAAGCAAGCAGGTGTTTGCTGAGCAAGCAGTTTTGCTAACAACATTCTTTGCATATTTTGTATACCTTTTTCTCCGGGAAGAGAGGACCCAGCTTTCCGTGACCTGGGAGCCACAAATATTTCCTCCTTGAGCATTTAGCAGAAGAATAGTTTTTCTTTTCTTAAGAAGGGAAGCGAGCCTGGCTCTTGCATAAGAGATTCCTGTAAGTGTTTACTTTCTACGTACAGTTGAGAAGATGACCAGCAACAGTAGTTTCACCTACAAATCACAGCCAAAATCCAAACTTGGCAGGCTGAGTATCAATAGAAACTGTATGAACTATTCCAACTAAACAGAAGCATGCTGCAGACTGGCTGGAGCATGAGGATGGAGGTGTATTCTTGCATCTGTCATTGCTGAGAGAACACCCTGCACTCCTTTGGTTTTTTTAACTTCTATTTGCTGGTCTGAGATCCTTAAGGGAGAAAAGCCTTTTAGCATGAGGGAGGGTCAGGTTTTTCACCCTGATGCTGCTGGTTGTGACTTCTTGACCTGACATTGCCCAGTGGTCTCCCGCCCCAAAACTGAGCAAGCTTTCTAAGACCCAGCCACTGGTGCTTTGAGCACTGTTTGGTTAATAGAGATGTACTACCAAGATATTTGCATTTTTATTCTCTGGGCATACCACAAAATGCCCATATCTCATCAGACATGCAAGAGATGCATCGCATCTGTAAGAAACTAATGAAAACAATTCACTGTTGCATTACTGGCTGTTAAACCCACACCTGGAAAACAGGCCAAGGACCTTCTGAGGTTTTTAATTCTGCCTTGATAGCTAATTCCTGATGGAAATGAGATGCCAGGACAAGATGAAGGTTTCCCCTGGAGCTGATAAATAGGTGCTGGAGCAACTCTCACAGTCTACTCCAAAGCATTTTGCCCCATCTGGTGTGAGTCTTAATGACACAGTGAAGTGCCCAGACTGATACATGCTTAGGTCCCATTAGCTCAAATTTGGCTTATAGTTAAGGCCGCAATTGATGCTTGTGTTCAATCAGGAGCTGGCCAAGAAAGTCTTGACTTCATCATTACCATACATGCAGGAGGAAGGCTGCTATATTTTTCCAGCACTTTTCCTCCAGAAAGGGGAGGCACCTCTCCAAAGCTCTGTCTGGAAATGGTGGTAACGTCTTGCTCTTGTGAAGGCAAGGGAAATGGGTAGGCACATGTTTCAAGAAAAAAAGTTCCATGGTAAAATTAACTATTGATATGATAGAGGTTCTTCCCCATCCTTGGCAGTTGCAAACATCTCACAGACAGATATGAGTGCCCACCAGGAAGCTGGATGAGACTGAAGAGGTTTAATGCCTTTCAGAGTGCTGCAGAAAGGCCGCCTGCTCCACACCAAGGCAACTCCACAGAAAGACAGCTTTTATTGCAGGGCTTTCAAACCATTTTCCAGCACCTAGACACAATGCCTACTCCACTGCTAGCCAAGAAAGCCTGCAAGTAGTCACCAGCAGCCTCTCTTTTGGCTGCTCTTAGCAACTGGGGGCAGCCATCAGAGCAAGGCTCACATTTACACCTCCGGCTTTGCAGCAATCGCCTTACACTCCCCTTCCCCATCCCCACCTCAGCAGGCACTTTTGCAGCATCAGGACAGGGAAGAGGAGATGAGAAGGTGAAGGGATTGCAGAAAGAGGAAACCCAGTAATAACTGATCACTTCTTCCTCATGGAAAGAGAAGGGCAGAACTGTTCTTTCTTCCTCACACACTAATCCTAGCTAGTCTATCATTTTTCCAGCCTAATTTTAACTCCATAAAAGTTTGGTCCTGTTTGTATGAGGAACCTGAGATGCATGGGAGTTGGCAGGTTTGGAGGACTGAAAATACCCAGAGTGAATTGAACAGCGGGAAGGGAGATGACCATTCAACAGGGCTAAATGAGTTGACCATGGACAGGCTGCAAATCAGTGGCCGTGCGGGGGCTACATCTCCCTTTGGCTGACTCTTGACCAATATTCCTATAGGACTAAGTCAATCGTGGCTGTTTGAGGCTGCTGTTGAACACTCAGCATGACCAGTGACACTTGCTCAGGCATTGGCTTCCACTAAATGCAGAATTCTCCCCAAAGAAAAAGAGAAACAACTTACAAAGCCAAGGCATCATCTTCAAAATAAATCCCCATCGTTACACGGCCACTTAAGATGTTTCCTGCCTCTTCGAAAGCTTCCCTGGCTGTGAAACAGACAAAGATAGAAAAATACACAATAGAAAGAGAAGTGTCAGCTTCCTCTTGGAAACCAAATTGCTGTCTGCATACATAACACCCTCCCACAGCAACTACGATTACAGGCTCATGAGAATGGATGCATCTCACGGCTACAAGCTATGGGAAGAGGAGTTGGCAGAGGCCAAAAGGATCAGAGGGAAAGTTCCTATTGTGAGAACAGTATCTGCTCTTTAGCCACCAGCACTGAAATTTCCAGGATCTGCACGACAGGGGCACTGATGGAAAATGAAATGTCTTTAAGGACTTGAAGTCCCTAAGTGTTCTTAGAAACAGGAGACCAATTATATGTCTAATCGTATAAATCCCAGTGACCTTTTGGAAATGACTGATGATGACTTAACTTGAGTAGTCCTAAGAGCCCAGCAGATAAACCAGCTTCCCCAGAAGTGTCTTTTGGTTTTATCCAGTTCCTCAGAACAGGCACTGTCTGTGACAGGCATCCAGACAGGATAGAAGGATCAAAAAGCTAAATGCCTTGTACACACAGTGTGCTCCACTGCTTTGTGCAGCTGCTGCAGCAGCTCTGAGTGTCCACCACTCACATTATGGAGATGGCAAGGTCAAATAGAGGATGGGGAGGAAAGAACTGGGTTGGGGCTCTCTTGATCCATCACAGCTGAATCTATCTGTGCTGAGAGACTGAGCGCAGAGCCTCAACCCAGTCCTTTTGTGTCCATCCTCTACTTGACTGACTCTTGGGCTGAGTTTGGGGTTCCCGAGGGAAATGGACAATGAAGTGGCTAAGACACTATCCATTGTATTTGAGAGGTTGTGGCAGTCCAGTGAAGTTCCTACTGACTGGAAAAGGGGAAATATAACCCCCATTTTTAAAAAGGGAAAAAAAGAAGACCTAGGGAACTACAGGCCAGTCAGTCTCACCTCTGTGCCTGAAAAGATCATGGAGCATATCCTCCTGGAAACTATGCTAAGGCACATGGAAAATGAGGTGACAGATGACAGCCAACATGGCTTCACTAAGGGAAAGTTGTGCCTGACAAATTTGGTGGCCTTCTACAATGGGGTTATAGCATTGGTGGATAAGGGAAGAGTGACTGACATAATCTACCTGGACTCGAGCAAAGCATCCTCATCTCTAAACTGGAGGGACATGGATTTGACAGATGGACCACTCAGATAAGGAATTTGCTGGATGGTCGCACTCAGAGTTGTGGTCAATGGCTTGATGTCCAAGTGGAGATAGGCGACAAGTGGTGTTCCTCGGGGTCAGTGTTGGGACCAGCACTGTTCAATGCCTTGTTGGCAATAAGGACAGTGGGCTGGAGCACACCCTCAGCAAGTTTGCTGATGACACCAAGCTGTGTGGTGCGGTTGACATGCTGGAGGAAAGGGATGGCATCCAGAGGGATCTGGGCAGGCTGGAGAGGTAGGACAGTGCCAACCTTATGAAGTGCAACAAGGTCAAGAGCAAGGTCCTGCACCTCGGCTGGGGCAATCCCAAGCACAGACTGGGCAGTGACTGGATTGACAGCAGCCCTGAGGAGAAGGACTTGGAGTGTTGGTTGATGAGAAGCTTAACATGAGCCAGCAATGTGCACTTGCAGACCAGAAAGCCAAATGTATCCTGGGCTGCATCGAAAGGAGCGTGGCCAGCAGACTAAGGGACGTGATTTTCACCCTCTACTCTGCTCTGATGAGACCCCACCTGGAGAACTGTATTTAGCTCTGGGGCACCCAACATAAGCAGGACATGGACCTGTTGGAGTGAGTCCAGAGGAGGCCACAAAGATGCTCTGAGGGCTAGGCCATCTCTACTATGGAGACAAGCTGTGAGAGCTGAGGCTGTTCAGCCCATAGAAGAGAAGGCTCCAGGGAGACCTTAGAGCAGCTTCCAGTGCCTAAAGGGGCTGACAAGAAAGCTGTAGAGGGGATTTTGACAAGGCATGTAGGGATAGAACAAGGGGGAATGGCTTTAAACTGACAGAGGGGAGATTTAGATTACATATTAGGAAGAAGTTCTTTGCTGTAAGGATGGTGAAGTGCTGGCACAGGGTGCCCAGAGGAGCTGTGGCTGCCCCATCCCTGGCAGCGTTCAAGGCCAGGTTGGACGGGGCTTGGAACAACCTGGTCTAGTGGAAGGGGTCCCTGCCCATGGCAGAGGGTTGGAACTGGATGGGCTTTAAGGTCCCTTCCAACCCAAACCATTCTATGATTCTATGACTCTAGAGCTGGTTTATGCCCTTGCAAAACAGCCTCAGTTTTTGGCAGCTGGAACTAAGGGAGAGACAAGCTTTGTGAGAACATGCAAGCCACAGTGTGTGAGCTTGTAAAATACAGTTATAGATCAGAGATCAAAACTGGTGATGCCAAAGGTGCAGTGAAAACGGGGTGGATTTCAGCACCACCTCCCCTCCCCCTTCGCATTGAGCAATTGAAAACAATAAAAAAGGCTCTTTGGACTTAAGGACAGTGGGAAACCACACTCTTTGAAGAAGTCAGGTTCTCCCAAGAATTAAGGTTACATCTCAGATATAGTCATGATGTATGTCGCTTTATAACTTAAGTAAGATCTCATTCAGATACTATTTTGTGTTCCCCATAATGCTGACTGTCATATCACAGTTGTCCAGCCCAAGCTCTTGGGACTGGTGACTCAGACCTCAATAGACTGAGGCTGGCTCATAACTGGTCACTTTTTGGTTCTTTGCCTCCTGCTTCCCAGCTACACTCAAAGCCATATTTTCCATTGTATACCCCCGGAACCACAGGGACCACAAACTTTCATTTACACTATTTTCCCTTCCAAATGCAAGCTTAGATCCTTAAAGGACTTAAGGAGGGTTTAGACATTGTAGAAAACAACACACATATGACAAAGCTGGTGACACAGCTTGGCTGGTTCATCTTGATATGGAGAAACCACTGTTGTGTAGGTCTGACGTTGGTTTCCAGCTCTCTGGGTTTTGGTTATTTGATTTTCAGTGCTGAAAGAAAAGCAACCCTTAGGACCAGCTGACGAGGATCACCAAGAACTTTACCAGCAAACCCCAACTACTGGAGAAAAGGCCATGGGCAGATCATCGCCCACCCTGTGCCTCAAGGCACTCAAGGACCTGGAAAGAGCAGGCTCACATTCAAACTTCCTGAGAAGAGCCCTTCTCCAGGTATTTAACTTAAGCCCTCATCTGAGGCATAACCTTGTGTTGAAGCGACGCCCTGGAACAGCCCTGGCTGCAGGAATTCTCCCCTAAATCAGGACAACCTTAAGCAGAGTCCAGACATATTTGTTTCATCAGGGTCATTCCTGATGAGATATTCCCTCCCCGTCACACTTCTAAATTTTTCTGTATTTGGGAACTGTGCCAGACCCAGAGCCATGTACCAGCCTTCATTTCTCAACAGCTCACAGCAAGGCAGGAAACGCCCCCCCCAATACGCACAGCTCCACTTACAGACACTAAGAACTTTTAAAGAAGCTATTTAAATATTTCCTAGAAAATTAACCCCCCCGGGAGGTCTCTTAATTTCCCATGGGGCCTGATCATACGCTGCAGCACATGCCTCGAGCTGGAATCCCAGCTGCCTTCCATGACATTGAATTGCACAAGCCCAGCTTCACTGCAGGATTTGGGAACAAGAAGGAATAAAACTGCCAGATGTGGAAGGGTCTACAGCTTCTGCAGAGTTTTTGGAGGCAGGATGTGAGCATCAGCCCTTATCCTTCTAGCAGAATGCATCTCATGATCCCATGCTCTTCAGCATCACCTGTAGGCATCTTTGCATGCCTTCTTCACTTCGTTTACACTGATGCTGGCAAGGCCTACAATGGTACCAGAGCTTTGCAGACCACAGGCGTATTTTTAAGCATTTGCTGCATGGTTTAGGACAATCTTACTTCCAAGCGTGCTTCCAGTTTCTGCATAGCAAACAAATTTATCTCCTATAAATTCTTCACGTTTCCAGGAAAACGCGCGTTCATTGCCCTAATAATACCATCCACCTCTTTGTAACAAATTTTCATTATGATTTTTCCAACAAGCCTCTTTTAGCTCAGACTCACTGAAGGGCTTCCCAATGTAGTTTTCTGATACTAAATGTTGGAAAAATACAGGGCTTTATTTAACTGGACATCTTATTGCTCTGTTTCAGTTAAGTAGAAATGGCAATGACATGGCATGTTGCTGGTTCAGGTTAGAGCAGGAATTCTTGCTGTCAGAAAATCATTGGAAATTCCAGAGAAGTCTGCAGGCTGATAAGAGCAGCAATGTGGTTTCCCAGACTCTGGCATGGGTTCGGTGCCAGAACAGCTGGCTCCAGTTTTCTGTTCCCTCAGGTCATTCTGCATGATGCTTGAACACCCTGCAGGTTACAGGCAGGGAAAGCATCACAGATTCCACCTCCCTTGGCATCTCCGGCTGTTACTTCAGACTGCAGATGCCATTCCAGATTGCAGACTGAGTGTGCCCTGAGGGAAGAGGCAATCTTGTGGGCTCCACACAGAGGTGTCTGGAAACCTCCAAGACTCTTGTCTGCATGGAAGGAAATGAACAACTTCTATATAAGGAAGAGCCTGAGCTCACACATCCAGTCAGATCCAGGCAGGTTCCTTCCATGAACCCATCTCACCATCCAAGGTTCTACCATGGGGCTAATCCAGGCTCCACTACTGCAGAGTGAAGTATGTGGAATAGAGAGAAGATTTTGGAGCTCAGCTGATGAAATCCAGGGAGAAATGGACTAAAGATTTTTCTGAGATCAGTAAAAGGGAATTTAGACCCTCCAGAAACAGGCAGGCATATTAGCTGTCAGCTGGCTTGGTGAACACAGCTCAAGTGTTTTCTGGTTGGTTTCAGACATTTTATTTCATGCTTACTTCTGTGCACAGCTGACTTCCTCTGGACCTCCTTGTGTGAGAAAGTAGCTTGGTTTGCATTTAACCAAAGTTTACAGACACAATGGAAATTCAAATGAAAAATAGTCTGAAATTTTGATCTTGAGAAAGATTGTGAAATTCTCCTTTTTTTAATACAGTAATTCCCAGGGGTAGCTGGTAACTGAGAGACCATGGGGTTGGAAGGTCCTAGCTCTCCACTGTGGGTTTCACTGAAGCATGACATGACGTTCCCTTTATTTCTTCTCCCTTGCTAAGATACACAATTGTCAATGAAAAATCACCATAGTTCTTGGGTCCATTTCCCCGACTTTCAGAAAGTTTATGGAGACCCACTAGATCCTGGACCACAGCTATGGCATGCAATAAATGACACTGGAGCAGCATCTGAGTGACTAGCAGCAGGCCGGGGAAGGAGAGCATGACCGCTCCAAGCTTCAGCCACTAGCCAGGACTATACTGACCGAGACTACAAAATGAGACAATTTCAAACAAGTTAAGAACATTCTTCCCAGCAACTTTGCTTACCATTTCTAGCTGATGTGCACCACCCTGGGGGCTGTGCCCATCTCTTTCAAAGTCCAAAAGTGTATTTCATTGAGTTATTCACATTTTGTTCTTTCTGATGCAAGACATTTATATTTTACCTTATTGCTCCTTTGTTTGGTTGGGTTTTTTTTTTTTTACAAAAAAGATTTTGGGTTCCGTGTTGGTTGCAAGGACTGGGACTACCACATTTGCAGGAGGAGTCAGCAAGATAACTATCAATTCTATAGTGGAAAGGGCTTTTTTTAAGAAGGAATATGGTGTGACATGTTGTACATGGACTGCAAGAAGAGGCTGATGGATCTGGGCTTGTTCAGTCAGAGGCTGAAAGGGGGCTTATAAAGAGGACGGATCCAAAATCCTCACAGTAAGGGGCAGGCGATACAACAGGAACAACAAGTACAGACTGTGGCTTGGTAAGTTCAGATGGGACATCTGTAAATATTCTTTCAGAGAAAGGTCAGAAAATGAAACATAGAGGAACTTCCAAACACCTGGAATCACCCCTCTCCCATCAGGAATAAAGCTGAGTGCTTAACCCACAAATACCACACTAACCTTCACTCGTGGCTGTGCTAAATACTCCTAGAAGCGAAGTGTGGTGATAGGATGACAGCTCAGACGGAAACTCGCCTCTTAAATATCTTTCTGCTTCATCAATCGTGGCAAGCTTCAGAGGGCAGGAAACTCGGCTCCTACAAGAAAGGCAGAGAAACAACACGAGCTGCCGCCTTTTTCCTTTTTGGGATGAAGAGACAAAAGGGCAATTTCAATCCAGCAATGCCCCAACCCAACATGACAACTGTTACGCGTCATTAAAGACAAAAATCAGTCATTTGGGAAGGAAGGACAGTGCCTAGTCACAGAAAGGCACTGGAGCTGGTTATGACGAAGAGAGAAAGAGCCCTGAGCCAAACTGGTTGCCCTCAGATCCTTGGGATTCCCATTCTGTCCAAGAACAGCTATTCCCTGACATTGAAAAGCACAAAAAGTTATTAAGCTCATTTCCAAACCAGGTCTAAAATCAGATCTGACATTATTTTTCCAAAAAGGATTTCCATTACACAGGCCATGAAGTATGCAGAACATCATCTAGCAGATGTGCCAGTCTTACTGTGTATGGGTTCATTAACAGACACTTACAGCATGATGAAAATGGTCAGTTCTTTGGTTCCCCACATGCCATTGTACATCACTGATCTCTCTCCCTTCTCGTAAATCTTAATGGTAGGAAACTGAGTGACATTCTCTTCTGTGCAAATGACAGGCCAGTCCCAGCAGTTTACCCGAGAAAGCAAAACCCCCTGAGTTCCTAGAGTGGAAAACAAATAAGATTAAATAATATGAAAAAAATAATAATTAAAAAAAAAAAAGAAAAAGAAAAAGAAAAAAGAAATGGTTGGAAAAAAGTGCTTTTTGTTAGCTTCTTTGAATATTATCACATATATTTATATTAACGCTGCCAGAACTCCTATTTGGTTTGGCATGCATCCTACAGAGCTGGATCCTAGCACACAGAGCGAGTGCAGGTGGGCTACCACTGAGAAACTGTTGCACCATTCCCGGAGTCAAACACTGCTATGTGTGGGCAGAATGTCAAAATCCAGCCCAGAATATACAATCCTTTTGAGTACAGGCTATCTACCTCTTGAAATCACTCATGAGTATACCTTACACTTTTGAGCATAATAGGAACTATTTCCAGCCTGTGAATGTATTAAATACCCCAGCAGGTGTGATTGATCCGAACAACAAATCAGGAAGAGAATAAACTCAGGGAAGTAGTAGGTTGCACTTCTCAGAGACAAATTTCCAGAGACATTCACATCTGGCTGGTTATTCAAAGCGATACCATGAAACCCTGAGGCAACTGTCCAGGAGCATAAAACGCAGCAAGAAAAGGTACTGGAAATATTTAGGAATAAGGCCAAGACAAAGAAACCATGCAGGCATTCGCTTACAGGAAAGAGGGAAGATAAAACTGGCATGGAGAAGGCTGAGGCATTCAAGGCTCTTTGCTTATTAAGGTGCCCAGTATTGAAAAGTGTCTGTTCTACTTAAAGCATGAAGCCAAATACACAAGAAACAGTTAAAGGTGATGTAAGCAAGCTAGATGTAATACAAGCTGGCAGTCTGATGGCATTCACCCTATCCTACCCATGCCAAATCCTCATCTCCAAACCACTAGCAAGTATGTTTAAGACCATAAGAAGGGGGTTTCACAAGTAAGGGAAAGGAAGAGCACTTGGGAATTATAGAGCAGCCAGTCCAACTTTAGTTCCTGGGAAAAGTACAAAAAAAGCTTTTTATGGGTCTCAAAGTGATTATCTCAAGGGATTTGCAGGCAGTGAAACAAATGAAGGTTGGTTCTCTGTGTGCTCTCTATGAGCCAAAGGCACTCCAGCATGTCCTTATCAGCCTTTCTTTCATCTACAGGCTGCATAAAGACCAGCACACACTGCTGCTGCTCCATGGCTGAGCCTGTGCTAAGCTGGCAGGTGAACCATCACTGGCTTCACCAGCTACCTTGGTGGCCAGCCTCACCTAACCTGCCTCCCACCTACTTGCAGGCTTGACCAAGGACAGCAGGGCTACATACAGTCCTCAGGCCATATCATCCATGCCCACTGAAGGAATGCTGTATCTCAGAAATCTTCACGCCTTCCCTAAATTTCTTTGAACAGGATTCAACAGTTACATGGGAAAGATGGGATGAAACCTAGAGACAAGTACACACATGGAGGCAGACCATCACAAAGTGTCCTCCAGAAATCAGGGTAAGGGCAGGTGATGAGGATTTCTCAAGAGTACGGCAGAACAAAACAACTAAGCTTTGTTCTCTGTCTGTCCTAGGTTTGATTCTGATCACTATTTTCATTACAGGCCTGGCTGATGGAATAAAACATATTCCTGCAAATGATCCCAAGCCCAGAGGGGCAGAAAGCAATTTGAAGAGCAAAATGTAGCAACAGCAGCATTCTGTAATGAGAAGCAGGAAGCACAGATATCATCACTGCTGCAGAAGAGGGCAAAGCTCATTCTGGGATGAACTCTAAACAACATCTACAAAATGTGGGAGGAAAATGATGCTCTTCTGTGGCAGTGAGACCTTTGCAGAGCCCAGCAAGTCAGGCTGGGAAACGTTTTTAGAAAGGCTTAAGCGGATGTGAGACCCCAAAGAAGTTTGGAAGACCTACCTCCTGAGGAAAAACCCAAAGAACTGTGTTCCTTTTGATTGGAAAGAAAGAAACAATAAAGCTAACAATATGTGAAGTCTGCTCTGGAAGTGACACCAAGATGACTCTCTTTTGCCAGCTGGGCAACGACAAGCAACAATCCATTCCCAGGAAGGGAGGTTTGCCCAGATATTGAAACAAGCTCCTGAGAACCAAGCACAGCAGAGTCTTTTTGGCAGAGAAGCTGTGGAAGGGTTTTAATCACAGGTTAGAAACATGCCTGCCAGGGATGGGCAAGGCATCTCCAGAAACAAGAGTGAAGGCAGAGGTGACCTTAGCATGTGTTTCTATCCCCTATCCCTATGTCCTTGTCATCCCACTGGACCATTTTCTGCAACCCTCATTTTAGGCTCTGCTTTGCAGCTCACGTGAGGAGTTTGCTGCTGTTCTGCCTTGTGTCAAACTCATGTACAGACAAAGCAAGCAGCAGCACAGAGTTAAGGGTCTGCAATTCCACTCAGTCAGGAGCTGTCAAAACACTCCATGAGAGCAGAAATGGTTTGTGTCATTCTCCAGGCTCTGAAATAACATCTCAAATTAAAAGCCCCTGGATTTATTTCACACCTCTGATCCAGTATAGCTGGTTCTTCTCATTTCTTAACACATAATCTTGTGTCTTGCCCAACTCTGAAAAATAATGACATGGAAATAGGGCTTTGATGTCTAGTTAAAATTGAGTTGCAACACTGCTCTAAGGTCCCTCAAATATGAGATTTAGCATTTAGATACAACCTCAGGGGATTATGTACCAAAAGTACTCCAAAGGAACCCCATCTGGCCTGAGGAATACTTTGTACAAGATGATCGCTCTCCATCCCAATCTGCACTGTATTATTAGTTACTGAATGAGCAGCAGTTTCAGGAGTTGAGTTACTCAGCAACAGATTGTTCAGCCCTGCGGTCATTGCTGGATGGGAAGAAAGGTGAAAGAGGAACACAAGATCCTACTATTCTGTGCATTTAGGTGCTACTAAAACCAGCAACAGCAAGAACCTCTGTCCCAGGGGTCTTATAAAACCAGAACAAGACAAATCATCAGTGCTATAGGGAACAAGAAAAGACAAGAATCCCTTAAACTTCTAATCTTTTTGAGGGCAGGACTGATATTAGAAACAGCTCTCTTGAAGAGCTGGTCCAAAGGCTACAGCATGAAAGAGAAATAAGTTATGTATGAAATGCTGCACTTCAAGAGGAGGAATCCAATATGGAATGGGAAACAATTACCCAGAGAGCATCATATAATGGACTCCTAAATCCTTGCTTCAGATTTAGCTTCCATAAATACACTTCGCTAAATCACACAGGTGATTTTCATGCCTTTGAACTACAACTTCAGACCCCTGTCTTTGGAAGTCATTGGTCAAGAAGATTCCACAAGCGCAGGAAAGGGAAGCAGACTGTTTTTCATCACTATTGCTTTTCTTAGATATTGGTTTCCTCTCTTCTTTGCCAAAAAGGTCAATGACACACCTAAGAAATGCTCAGCACTGTCTCACCTTCACATTCTGTTTTCTTGTCTTGTAAAAGAAAACAATAGCTGCATCAGTTAGCCCCAGCAGCAGTGAGGATGGCATGCTCTTGCAGCAAGAGCAGAAAATGTGCTCAGTTCAGCAAGACAGAGATGCTTCTCTTTCTCTTGCTAGATTGGATCTCTCAACAAAAGGAAAACACTTGCGCTATAAACTTAATTTTGTGATGATGTGCTGAACGTCTGTTCCTGGATGAGTCATGGGGTCATTCCAGTCTCCAATCTCCTCTGTTCTATTGCGCTTGATCTCATATGGCCTATCCTCAGTGCCATTTTGCATAAAGAATTGGCATCAAAACTGGCACCTGGTTCTGCAACTCAAAATGTGCCTCTAGAATGGGTGATTCATGCCTCAGACAGCTGGTCTTGGCTTCTCAGCCCTTAGGAAGAATGCTCCACCCCAGAAAGCAGACAGGAATACAAGCACTTCCAGAGGAGCTGAGATATTGTTCCAAAGCCAGATACCATGTTTTATTCTCCCCCTGGCCATAACTGATTGCTCAGAGACCCCTAGCCTTTTAGTTCTTCTAATTCCCTGGTAGCCTGCCTGTGACTCAGGCTCCCTCAGCAGCAGAGACTAAGGATCTCCAGATCCACTAATGCAGCTGTTCTCCATCCTCTCCAAGGCTACAGTCCAGAAAGCAGACTGGAGTCATTCTACAGGTCACATCTGGCCTGGAATTCTTTGGCGGGACCTTACTGATCACAGAGGAAAAGCTCTGACCCCATCAGTTCATAATCTCTATTGAGAATCTGTCTGTGGCTACTTTCATGCACCGAGATTGATATCAAATGATTAAGAAAAACACATGGTGAAAGACTGGCTCTGCAGAATCAGCCAAGGTTTGACCACTGGCTCAGGAAGAGGCAGAGTTTCATACACTGACTCTCCCAGGTTGCTCCTCTAGCTGGTCTGATTGCTGGAGAGTCTAAAAGAAACCCCAAACCATCAACAACCATAATATCTCTAACAACAACCACCCTCCCCGAGCTTTCCTGTTGATTCCTTGGATTTCGGTCCAGATCAAAGCTGCTGGTGACCTTCTTTTTATGCAAACTATGAATGCAGAACCACTTTCAACCAAACCACAGCATTGTCTGCAGTGTTCCCAGGATGGTTTCTTGCAAGCAACTCCTACTGCATCTGCTGTCTGGGTCCTCTGCAGACTCTATACAGGTCCCCACTGCCGAGAGCTCAGCCTCAGGCCTGCTTGCACTCTGCAAACTCATCGTCAGTTTGCAAAATCATGCAAACTCTGTAGGACATGGTGCCAGGTTCCCGGGGAGTGCCATCACTAGGAGAAATGAGCCTTAATGAAGAAAAACAAATAGAAGGCACCAGCCACCTATGCGGTTGCCAAAACAGCTCTCACCCAGATCCATATGACTTCCCACTGTGCTGCAATGAGTTTGGGATGAAGCCACCTCAATGTCCCCTGCAGCCAGGGAAAGAAAGAGGCATCTCTGGAAGAGATTTTAGCCCATGTAAGGATGATGAATGTGAAGAAGAACCCGCCTCTCCCCATTAATCATAGAGAGGGATGGGGCTGAAGATTTGAATGAAGCTTACACTGCTCAGAAACTGTTCAGAAGCTCCTGAAGGATCACTCCCTCCTGGCTTTACTACCAGACTACTCGATGTGTGCTGTCTTTAAGCATTGCTGATTCTTGCCGTTACGTGTTATTTATGGAGTCCTGTGGCTGTCTACGAGAATTCCCATGTAATTAAGCCAGTCTCCATGCCCTGAAGGCATCATCATTGTAAATTCTTCCTCTGACACCATCCTGCACCAGTGGATCTGGGCCTGTCCACACCTGTCTGTCACACTTTCCACCAAAACCTGGGCCAGTTACTGCTCCTTTCCATATCAAGTACTTCCAAGGACAGAAGATCTGATCTGCCACCCAGCACGCTGATTTGCTGTGCACCATGCAGTCCATCCTCTTGGTCTGTAAAGGCCACAGGTGCACTGCCCTGGTCCTCCCCATGCTCGGGCACTCATCACGCAGCCATTGTGCCCACCAGCATCGCCATCATTCATCCCACTGTCACTCTGCCCACCAAGATCACCATCTCAGCTGCAAGGCAGTTGGGCAGCTGGTGTGTACCAGTTTACACCAAAAGAAGGCGACTGAAGAAGGCTGCATTTGCAGTCCCACGAGTTTATAGAGGTACAGTGAACCACAAAGATTCCTAAATAAGAAATAAAGGACTCTTCCTAAGCAACCTGATGTGGATATGCCTTCCTTAAGAGTTTGAGAGGAAAAAACAAGTATATTCTGGGTGAGGGAGGGAGGGAGGTACCATCAATACCCTTCCAGTCTTCTGGTTCCTACTACCAGGGCAGGTGTATGCCAGCTGTAAAGCACTCAGACCTGTGGCACCTTACCTTCCAGGTGATCGGCCACCTCTGCGTAAGACTGCAGCACTGCCAGGGACACTGCCTCCCCTGAAAAACAGGAGAGACATAGCTCTGAAGGACATACAGGTGACAGGCCAGCCCCATCTTGCTCTCTGACAATGTCACGTTACAATTCTCTGCATCCTAAGGTGCTTCAAGCTCTGAAAGACTTCAAAGAAAAAAGGAAAACTGGATTTTACGCTTCTGCACAGCAAACAGCAACCAGGATGTCTAGGCTATCCCGTGATACCACAATATCCCCTCTTGTCCTACATTTGATGCCCGTAAAATGAAGGTTAAAAACCCATGAACATTGATAACTTCTATGCTGAGAGATATCGTCTTCACACATCAGTCAATGAGAAGAACTGATTTACTCTGGTTGCTCAGTGGGGAGGCCTGTGGGGCTGGATGCAGCACTTATCATTCAATTCTACAGGATTACCATAGTATGGAAAGCACAGTGAGCAGCACAACCTCAGAGAAAGGACACCAAGCCACACCTCATACTCACAGCTGGCATAAAACAGCACCACCGTCCGGGCTGTCTCCAAGAGAGCAGAGTGGAAGGTCTCCTCTGTCAGGACATGGATCTGCTCCAGGGGCAGCTCTCGCTTCTTGTCCCTGGAAACTGCTTCTACCACCTCATCATCCTGGATGTCTGCAAGGGACCCACAGCTGCGCATGAACACAGGTATGTGTGCAGGGCAGAGGGAACTGCAGCCCCCTGTGCCACCCCAGCAATGTGTTTTCCTAAGCCAGCCCCTCTCAGCAGGGACATGGTGACTGTTGTCAAGTGGTAAGTAACTGTCTCATATGGGGGAATGGAGGCACAGGCACGCATACAAACTCATCAAAAGGCACTCATGCCATCTCACACCAGTTGTGCCCTGTGGTTTGAACACTATTCTTTCAGCATGTTGGCTCCTCTAGGATCCTGTGCCACTTTTTCTAAAACAAAACCATTTTTCTCTGGAAAACAATGCATTTTCAAGGATGTGCTGCAGGGGCCAGTGTTTTCTCCCTGGGGAAGGCAAGCCTGGAACAGCTTACAAAAAACATGTCTCAAACCTTTCCAAAGGGACTGATAATTCTGATGCTATTCTGATGATTGAAAAGAAGAGCGTGCTGGATGCACTTTAAACCCCTCATGCCTCTAAAGCTGGATGTATTCAAGCAGAAGCACCCCTGTCCCTCATGCAGCACTTCTGCAACTGTTCCTCTAACAGCTGCTGATTTTTCTCCCTGGTGTTTCCTCTAAAAATTATGCCTGTCTGTCACAAAACTCCAGTGATCTGCAGAGAATCAAAGAGCCACTTGTACAACCATGATGTGACTGTGATGGTTTGCCTTGGATTTGCAGAAGTGTTCTCTAATGCTTTAACATATGCCTGCATGTCTCTAGCAGATGCTGATGCATGTCCTATCTGATAACAATCAGCTTTTCATTGTTCAGTTGCACACCTTGATTGTTATTCTCTTTTTCATCCTCATCTTCCTCTTCCTCCTCACCCTCCTGGATTTGTTTGACCTTGTTCTTATCTTCCACCAGGGTTATAACGTCATCAGTGTCTTCCAAGAGCAAGTATTTGATTGGCATTCCCTAAAGAAAACAGAATAAATCAGTCGGAGCAAAACATCACCCTCTGCCTATTCTGTCCACATGCCAAACTCAAGGCTGATGGGGCACCATCACCCAACTCCTTTTTCGGGGGGTATTTACAGATTCCTAAAAGCTGCTAAACAGGGAAGGACCTCGGGTGTGATTCTTTTGTCCAATTTCACCTGTGCATGAGTTTTTCTCACTCCAGACTGATGTTTCCTTGCAAGGAAGTACTCATGGCTATGTGGGATCCTGTGCCTGGAGAGGTGAAAGTGAACACTTGCTCCACCTCCAGTCATCTTAAACTTAGATGCATCTCTGCAAGAAAAAGCCCAGCGGCCAAATAGTGAAGGAGAGCAGGGAGGTACAGGGTCCACTCAGCTGTCCCCACTCTAGAGTTAGGCTGGGTCAGAGCAGCCCATCTCAGCCTGGGAAACTGGCACACAAAGTCCTTTATCTCATGGAGATCAACAAAGCAGAGTGCTCCCAAGTGTACAGGGGCTGCCAACCCATGGAAAGAAAACAGCAAAATGTATTTCTCAGAAATGAGACCTTGTCATCTTAAAATCAGTTCTGGCACTGTCTCAGCTAAAGGCACTTCAGAGAAAATGAATTTTGTAGTGAACTGAGAGAAATGACAAACTGCTGGCACCTCCCATTGGCTCTAAGAGGAGAAACACAACATGCACATCTCTCACCAGGGCATGGGAAGCCCTCAGGGGATGCTCAGGTTCAGGTCTGATCCTGTACCTTTGCAATCACAAGTGTGACAGTTCAGGTAATCTGGGGCAATGTGCGCTCCCTGGCATTTGTCAGTGCTGAATTCCATCTCGCCTCACAAGCTGGGTCAGGTCCCTCCAGAGTTTAGCTCATCTTGATCAACTTACACCCTGCCCTTTTCCCAGATCACTGCCAGAGGCATTCAGTTACATCAGTCCAGCACAGACCTTTGGTTGTTTTCACTCAGTTTCACGCATTTCCTCTCCCATCTTTTGAATGCCTTTGCTAAGGGGGCAAGACCCTTTAGAAGTCTAAAGGAATTTGCACTTGGACTACTATATTAGGTAGTTCACAAACTTGTGTTGCCTTAAGGTGTAATGGAGATGTCACCCTATGTTTTGAGACCAAAGTAAACTCAGTATTCTATCTTAACCAGCAGGCACAATTGCTCTGCAGTACCAAACTCAGGCAGTTCCAAATACATGTGTGCATCTAGGGAAAGATTGAACTTCTGGGAAGGCTGTCAAGTAACAAGGGAGCTGAGCAACACCCAAAACCTCTCAAGAGCACCATGCCCAGACAGGGAAACAGGAGCTGTACAATAAAAAAATCCAGCATCTGACCTCATCTGGTGTCTTGAGCGCGATGTTTGACCGGCGCAGAACATTCAAACCTACAAAGTCCCTTCCAAAATACAAAGTGAATATTAGATGATGTGACATGCAAGGTCACCCCCTCCGCTCAGCCTGCCTGGCTGGCAAGCCCACCTTCCTCAGCAGCACCACATCCTCACAGAGTCATGCTTCAGGCTGCCCCAAGAACTTGCAGGAACCCAGAATCAATGTCAGTGGTGGAGAAATAGGCTCCAAGTGACCACCTGGTGGGACTGCGCTGCATTAACATGCCTTTTTCACAAGGAGCTTGGATTCCCTTTCTGTGATTTGGGTCTTTGCTCACACACTGGTGACCACATCCCAGTGCAGCTGCTCTGCTGGTGGACATCAGCTCATGCCTAAATGCAGCCAGGAAATGCCTCCATACAGGGAGGGTACCACTGTGGCAGAAAGCTGAAATAGGAGAGCCCACACCCATCTCCTCCCATTTGCACAGCTGCCAGCAGACAGACCCAAAGGCTGTGCAACCATGCCTTCAGGGACTATACACTTCCTTTGGCAAGACACCGTGGAAGCATCTGCAAACACAAGCCAGTCTTGTGTGTGCAGGCTGCTCCTGAGCCCATAGAACAGAGACAAGTAACTGGTGACCAACCGCAGAGGAACCCAGCCCTGCACAGCACTACTGCCCCAAGGCTATCCACAAACTTGTTCCCCAGGAGGACAGGAGATACATGTGCGGGTCTAACTCTGAGAGCTCTCATTGACTGAGGAGGCATCGCTGAGTGGAGATGCCCATTGGATCCCAGCACCTAGCACTCGCAGTCCACCTTCTTTACTGGATCTCCTGCCCTTAATTTGAGGACAAGATACAAGCCTTCCATCAGTGCTGTTTCCTTTCCAAAATCTCTCTTAGTCTGATTGTTCTCCACTTCTAAATCAGCAAGAGACTCAAACATTTTTACACTTCCAGCCAGTCTGAAACCAAATTAATATGATTTTGGACCAAGCCTTAAATGTGACACCTTCTTGCAGGATATAGCCTAGTGTAGTGTGTTGATCTTGCCTGGGCACCAGGTGCCCACCAAGCCACTCTATCACAAATCATACAAACTCAGTACACCTAGTTTTACTGCCTCTCATCCAAATGTGAATAACTGACTATCATCCTGGTGGTGGGGTAACTGAGCTCTGAAACACCACAATAAGCAAGGAGATCCCCAAAACACCTGAGAGCAAATACCTGGACAAAAGGGCAACCCCTGCTTTCCCCAAGAGCTGCCAGGCCACAAACTCTGCTGTCCTCCTGTCAGCCTCATAGGTCTCTTTCTGGCTGAGGATGAACACAAGTGGTAGCCCAAGCTGTAAGTGAACGGTGGACACCTTCTCTGGGTCCTCAGCAACCTCTGTCTGGAGAAGAAACATGGTTACACTGCAGCACATCTCCACACCACAGAAGGTAACTCAGTTCTTCTGCACAGCCCAAGCCACCATATGTTCCCCAGCCACAGAAATGAGACCCTTGAGAGAAAGCCTTCAACCCTGGCTCTAGATCATCCATTGCAGCAGAACCCACACAACCCCGGTTAAACTGTTCCAACCTGTTGAGACCCTCCCTGTTAAAAACCTGGGGTTTATTATGCATGTTCTTTGCGACTTAGCAATTACAGATGTCAAATCTCCATTATTTTTTATTTACCTGGCATCCATTCCCCGGGGCAGTCTGAAAACCCCAGCTGCAACATGCAAAAGCTGGCATCCTCTCCCTTCCTGCCTTGGACATGTTGCTTCATGAAGTGCCCTCCCCCCATGGGCCTAGCCAGGAGCTGTAGAAGCTGGCTGAAGAAGGCACTTTCCAGCTCACCTACCCTTCTTTTTCGCTAGGCAAAGATGTCACAGTGGGAACTGGAGGCCTGCTGAAGTTCAATGCCCCGTGGGAACAGGAGATAGGAGGGAGCCTCCTGTCCCTCGGGCTCAGCAAGGCATGAGAGACTGATAGAGAGCTTCCCAGGGTGCTGAGCCTCCTGTGAGAAGTGGCTAAGTACTTTGGTCTGTCTAGTTTGGAGAGAAGGAGGCTGAGGGGCCATCTCATTGCTCTCTACAGCTTCCTGAGAAGGGGATGTGGAGAGGGAGATGCTGATTTCTTTCTTGTATCTGGGGATAGGATATGTGGGAATGGTTCAAAGCTGCACCAGGAGTGGTTTAGAGTGGACATTAGAAAGCATTTATTTTCCAAGAGGGTGGTCAAAAACTGGGAAAAGCTTAATAGAGAGGTGGTCAATGCACCAAGCCTGTCAGTGTTTAAGAGACATCTGGACAATGCCCTAAATAACATGCTTTGGCCAGCACTGAAGTGGTGAGGCAGTGGTACTAGATGATCATTGTAGGTCCTTTCCAAATGAAATAGTCTATTATATCTTATTCTGTTCTGTTCCGTTCCGTTCCATTCCATTCCAGCAAAGCCCAAGGCACCTCCACCCCATTCCCACTCATGGTGCTTACAGACAACTAGAAGAGCACACACTGGTGCCAGGGTCTCTGGAAAGATCTAAGCAAGCCTAGCAGTGCAATGGAGTGTTGGTCCTATCCAGCCCCATGCCTGTTCCTTTTTTGGACTCAACCTGGGAGCTTTGCTATTAACTTCATGCGGGATGGGTGGATTCTCACACTCAGCTTTGCCCTCTGCTCGTACCTCCCTCATCCTCACATCTATCCCAGCTTCCCTCATGCCCACAGCCCAAGTGGCTCCTCTTTTCCTCTCACAGCCCAAGTGGCTCCTTTTTCCCTGTCGTACCACCAAAGGAGCCCCCATGAGCTTGAGGTGCCTGTGGATGTTGAGAATTGTCAGATCTTGCTCCATGGCTGTCCTCCTGCAGGGCTGCGCCAGGTCTGTTGCCCGCTGGCAGTGGCAGAACAACAACCAGGCAGATGACACATCAGGCTCATCACTGCTGTGAGAGAGAAAGCAAAATCCATGCTGAGCTATGCATCCACCACAGGGTTTTAAAGTGCCCTAACAGAATGACCATGTTTGCTAGCATGTGTTATAGGGCAGATGATCCTCAAGCTTAGAGTTTGGCAGGCTTGTGAGACCTCTTCAAGAGCCCTGCTACTGACAGGTACAGCTGTGTCCACGTGCCTTTTGTAACTGTGCTGAACATCTGATGAAGACCCTGGCTCACCGGGTATAAATGATCCCAACCCCAGAACACTTGTCCCAGCTTGAGATGGACACAAATCAAGCTTTTCGCATGTCTCTGCAATGGAGACCCTGGCAGAAGGAGGACAGCTGAAGTCTACATATTTTTCTCATGTCCTTTACCTCACTAATGACATATAGAGAATATTCTGGTGTTGGTCTGTGGGTTAACTTTGGGAAGTCACATTCCTTTTCCTACAACACCCATCCCTCACCTCTAAAACCGGGATCAGCTTCTTTGTAAAGGGATTTTTGGTCTTTATGTGGAAGAGTAGACTGTAGTATTAAGACCTCAAAGCCTGCTGCCCCGGTTGTCTGAAAGCTATTCACACTGGTGAAACTACCACCATTTCATCAGCTAAAGAGAAGGCCTGCTGGTGTCCTCCTTGCTTCACGAAGAATGAAGTCAATTCCTGTCCAAATGACAAGCGTGCCATCTAGTGGCAGCCAGAAAATGCTGTCCCTGATAATCCTGCAAGGACAGGGTGGCACAGCAAGGAAGGACCACTTCGGTGCCTGCCCTGGTGTCACCTATGAGATCAGGCAAATTGCTATATAAATGCTTTGCTGAAGATATCACATCCTATGTGATATTTCCACCTTCCTCCCTCTCAGTTTTGTGACTGCAGTAGGTTACGTCAGAAGCACACTGCATTGAAGGATCTGCCTTTTTAACGCAGGCCCCGCACGGGAAGTGGATGGCCTGAGCTGGCTAGGTCCAGTGAAGACATTGGGTGGGAATTCCCAATACATGAGCAGTGTCTCATGCAGCTGCAGAACTCACTGCTGCCAAAAGTTGCTGAGATAAAAAGTAAAAAGGTGTTTAAAAAAACCTGGTGGCTGTTAACACCATAATACAGGTTCAGCTCCCATCTCCGATGGTCTTGAAACCTCCGACTGCCAGAATATGGGAGGCTGTAGGCAACACACATCCATTTCATCCACAATGAAAGAGGGTAGATTTAGGTTAGATATTAGGAAGAAACTCTTCCTTGTGAGGGTGGTGAGGCGCTGGCACAGGTTGCCCAGAGAAGCTGTGGCTGCCCCATCCCTGGCAGTGTTCAAGGCCAGGCTGGATGGGGCTTGGAGCAACCTGGTCTAGTGCAAGGTGTCCCTGCCCATGGCAGGACGTTGGAACTGGATGAGCTTTAAGGACCCTTCCATCACAATCTATTTAATGATTCTATGATTTCCTCATACCCCTTGGGAAGCACCTACGGCCACTGCAGAGGCAAGATATGGAACTGGGTGGGCTTTGCTCCAACCCACGGCAGCAGTTTTTACCCTTCTCAGCTGGCCAAACTTGATCATCAAAACAGAAGGCTACATGTATCAGCCCTCCTGAAAACCTTGAGGTTTGACCATGGAAAGGAGACAGTCAGTTCTCCTATAAAATCAATGGACAGTCACAAATGTTATGGCTAGTCCAAATCCAGGAACATAAGCAGCAGCTGGTTTTAGAAAAGCAAAATAGATCTGACTGTACAGCCTTGGCATAACATCCCAATACCAGATTTGACCTAGGAATCTGAGAAACCAAGAGTAGAGCAAACAGTGCAGGGAAGCAACTCTACCTGGAGGGTGCGTCTGGACATACCTAGTGTCTTTCAACAGCGTTGCCTCAGTTGTCAAAACAAACTGGTGGACAGTCCCATAGACAAAAGCCGCCTCCATCACGGCTCTGTGCTCTGGAAAGAGAAAGGCAAGATGAACTCATCTCAGCTCCCTCCAGATCTCCATCTTCATCCTTCCCAGTGGTAAGTACCAATGCCCAGGCTTTCAGAAACTCATTAAAAAGCCACAGCTCTCTGAAGACACACTATACAGGTAACTGAGTAACTGGAGCTGGACCCACTTGCTGATCTGCAGGAAACACAGATTGTGTATGTGAATCTGCCTATGGGTTTACTCATTTTTCAAGACAGCAGCCACTGGCTTCCTTTCCCTCTCAAGCCTGGATCTGAAAGTTTATGCTCCCAGCAAAACTTTTCTGGTGCAACTGATCCCTTTGGAAACACAGCAAGACATATGGAAGTGGAGAACTTGAGTCTGGGTGGCCCTTCCAGGTTTCCTTGATACTCCATTTGCAGGATTTTTGTACAGAAACCCAGCTCCCTTAAACCTTAGTAAAAAATGCTCTGGGAGGGAAGCAAAGGTAAAAAAATCAGTGTTAATACCTGCTGTCCCAGTAGCTGGTACATATGCAAAGACCATGTTCGACTTCCCTTTCAAGGCATTTTCAATGTTCTGAAGATCTGCCAGTGTTTCAACGTATTTAACTTCATTAAAGAGCAGGGCACTGAGGAGTCAGAAAAAACTCATTATCAACTATTTTCTTTAAAGAGAAAATTTGCAGCCACATAACTGTGATGGGGAAAAGAAGGTAAAATTCCAGCTTCTTGTTGGCAGATTGAAGAGTCACAGCCAAACATAGCTGCCCAGATGTGTGCTGGTGAGTCATCTCAAGGGCAAAAATTTAACAAGGTCAAACCATACCAAAGAGACAAGCAGCTTTCTGCTTGGCTGAGAGCCACCTCTGGAATACACAGGGTTTGTATTTATGCAAAACTTGGTGTCAACAAGTGAAAATGGAAAGTAAAGGATTTCACAGGGGTGCATCTGGTCTGTACTTACAACAAAACATTAGCAACGATGGAGTTCACATCAAACAAGGCATCTGTGGGGAACTCTCTGATCAGCATGTTACCTCTGTGGAGGGAAAAAAAGAGTATCACCAAAGCTACTATGAAAGATTAGCTACACATACTAATTTAATTCTCACTCTGCTGAATACTTTCAGGTGTCTGCTGGCAGGTGTGGCTGGAAGGGAAATGTCAGGATTGAATTTGAGGATTTGGTAGGATTAAGCTGTTTTAGCAGTCACCTCTGTCACTGCTGTTTCACTCGGCTTCTGGGGCCTCTTGATAAGAAGCACAGACTAACAGAAGGTGTCTATATACCAAGCACCACCCTGTAGACTCTCACCACTAGAGGAAAAGTCCCCGTGGGTCATATACAACAGTCAATGAGAACTGAGCTGATACATGGAGCAGCTTCCAGCTGACAGCCCATGGAGACCAAGAGCTAACCCTTCACACCCAGGGCAGATGAGCTGACTATACAGACACGAAGAGCAACAAGGAGTGTTTCTTTCTAGGACTAGACCCAAAACCTAGTGGTCTGAGTGTAACTCTGGAGAAGCTGGTGGTTGGAGGCTGCAAGAAAGTTGATGTCACTACTGTCCCCATGGTTCTTCTCCTCCTCTACAGACGTCCTCTTCAGACGTCATTGACAGCATTTCCTTCAAACACTTGCACTGGAAAGCAATCACAGTATGGTGCCCTCCCTCACCTGAACAGGTAGGCTTTCCTTAATGCATTTTCTTTTCCACAGTATCTTGAGACATCCTCTTTGGGACAATTAACCTAGACATTAAAAGCATGTAATTAGACATTCAGCTCCACAAATGACTACAAACACACAGCACTACAGTTTTTCTTTCCATTCAGGAATGTAAATCCAGCCTTTCCAAACCTACTAGGAGAGAAAATACAACAAAATGGAGTCCAGAGATAGGTATTGGAGTTTGCATTTCAATTCTCCAGCTCAGCCTGCCTTGATTTGGGTCACACAGGATCAAGAGATATTATGATCTGCCCGGTATATTCAAAGCGACAGATTGCTGACATATATACAAGAACTTCTTATAATCTAATTATACTTGCCTGAATTTGTAATTCTCTCACCTAAATCTGCACAAAGTTTCAGCTAAAAACCCCTTTATATGAAATATTTATTGCACTGAATTGAAAAGAAGTGAACTGACCCCATCCATCATTCTTTGCAGTTGGAGCTGGCAGGAGGGAGCTTTGGAAGGAGTTGGGCAGTCCCACCAAAGTGAGACAAGCAGGCTAATGCCCTCCTGTGCAGCATGCTGGGGATCATATTCTTCTTTGTGCCATGCCCCTGGGTACACAGCAATGACCAGGCAACTCCATATACCCTATGCAGCTGCTGGGTGGCCAGATTAGTTCAGCCAGCTAAGCCTGCTACATGGGGTGCCCATGAAAAAGACCAATCTGCAGGAAAACTGTCCCCTAAACCCAGGAATGCAACTCAATGTGCACAGGTTCATCTACTGAGACTGAGCTGGGAGGCCAAGAGCAGCTCAGAGCTGCTCCTGCCTGACCTACAGCACTGCCAGTGCTCTGCTTTGCAGTGTTTAGAGACACAGGCACAACATCAAGCCTCTCTGGGATATGGGAACCTCCCTGTGGCCCACTGGCAGAAGGTGCAATGCAACTCACAAGCAGCTGACATAAGGCCAGGGCAGGGGATGAAACAGGATGCCCTGGTTTGCTTTCCTGTGGAGTCAGCCCCCACGGTGGCTCTCTCCTCCTCACAGGAAGCCCTGCAGAAATAATCTGCAGAAATAGGCTGTCCTGCCCCTCATCTCCGTTTACCTTCACCACTGAAATGCCATAGTCCTGGAGAGCCTCAGCTGAGTCCTCAATCTGCTCCAAGAACGGCTGGGCAGCAGGAGAAACTGAAACACAAAGAACCCTGTTTTCTATCTCTTCCCCTTACAGGTGAAGCAGATGAGAGTATCTTCAGGGCAAGCACTGTCTGTGCTCTGCCATTGTAATAGCATGCTAAGGTCCCCATGCAAAAATCCCTGGGACATCCCAGCAGACCCGAGCAGAGCAAACAGGGAGCCATGGCACACAGCCAGCAGAGGTGCCTGCAGGGATATGGCTGGGAGAGACAGAGAGACTGGGAATGGTTCTGTGAGAGGAGTGTTGATGTGCTGGGCTTCAGGTCCTCGGAGTCAAGAGACACTGCTCAATACAATATGGTCTTGCTCTTACTCCAAGAGTAAGGTATTTACTGAAACAAAACTAATTACAGACAACAACATGAATGCCTGCAGTCTCCCCTCCTTCCTTTCTAACTCACCCATCCTCTCAGTGCTGACATGGGAGCCGCGTCAGTGTCTCAGCCCACACTGATGTCTCTGGGAAACCATAGCCAGGGGTCATGAAGGAGCAGAAAAAGAAAAGCAAGGCCAAGGATCTTCTACTAATTCTTAACAGCACTTAGTTTCCCTGCATGCAACGAATCCTCCTTTCCCTGGGAGGTACCATGGAAGAGAAACCTGGCCCCTTTGAGGGCACAGCTCCTTAGAAGGCTGGGTTTCTCCTCCATGGTTACCTCCAGAAAAGTAATGAAGAGGTCTGAAGGAGTGTGCCTGGGGACACAGACAGGAAAGATCCCACCCCAAGAGGTCTCTGCCTGCCAGGAGCACTTGGAGCCATGCAAACACTGGTTTGCCAGCTGAGCTTGACGAGCTCTTCAAAATCGCTTCAGGTTTAAAAATCTCAAGAATTGCCTCTTCACTGTTCTACTTACACACCCTCACACAAGCCTTTGCTGAAAACCCAGGCTGATATAAATGCACACTGTTAAATACATACCATTATGGCTGAAATATGCCAGGGATGCTCTGCCGGCTTGCAAGGCACTGAAATACCGCTGGGGGCTCAGCTCCTGCAGCACCCTCGCATTTCCATGCGTTGGGATGGAGGAAGCACAAAAGAGCAGGAAAGAGAAGGAAGAAAACCATCTGTCCTTTTGGGCTGACATGGCCGTTATCAGCTACAGGCACGGGAGAGTGACAACTGAGAAAAATAAACAAACAAACAAATAAATATTACGTATACACACACACAAAACCTTATCTATTATATATATAGCTACCAACATATGTATGAGTGTCTGTTCAGGTAAGTGCAGCGTGACTGGAATTTCTAGATGTGACACAAACATCTCAAGGACATCATGAATTAGTGACTAGAACAGCAGGTAATCCAAACAACTGTAAAGATGACAGCAAAGGCCATTCTCTTTCCTCTGAGCGGTATCTGCAAGTATACAGACCCTCAGTCCTTTCAGTTTAGGGCTTGTTTTCTTCCCTCCTTTTTTCTTCTTTTGAATCAAACAGAAACTGCATGCACAGGCAGAAAACAGTGACAGCATTATATGAAAGAAAATCCACCAAACTGTTTCAATTCTTGCTAAAAAGCTTTGAGGATGCCACTAGCATTAGAAGTGCTACTGAAAGAGGTGTTCACAAAAGAACAGGCCACACTGCTCACTTCAGATGATGCCAAATGATGTGGGGAGGTGCAAGAGCCCTCCCCAAGTGCCTGCCCCAGCTCTCTGCTGCTTGAGGTTTCAGCTACATCAAATAGGAGAGGGATTTGTGCAAAATTTGGGCTTGTGTGAAATAATGTGAGAAATTAGAGACCATCCCTCCGCCCCCAGATCCTCAAAGTTGTATTATGATATTAAGGCAATTTTAGGGTAAAATGCAGCTGCTATTTCCAGGATGGAATGCAGTCGATATGCACAGAATCTACCCGGTGATAGTTGCCCAGGCAACCCTGCGACCTTGGCATATGCTGAGACAAACTTAATGGAGAGTGGAGCAGAGGGAAGGCACCGTGGCCAAGCTCTGCTATACTCCCTGCAGGTGTGGGAACTGAAGACACCATGTACTGATAAACCACCTAGCAGCTGACCAACAAGGAAGCTATACTTCTATTGTAAAGCGAGAGAATTTCATACCAAGCATTAACAAAGTATGTATGACTAGAGCCACTCCAGCTCCATAAGCACATACTCAAACTCCATAGCAATATGCAGTTAAACCTCCATAGCCATATTTAGTTAAGGCTTCATAGGTATAGAGTTGAGAAATTGAAACTTGTATTACTATGAAAAAGCCTGGACAGATATAAGAGCCTCTTAAAGGGTCAGGAGACCTGAGAAACAAGAGTGATTTATGACGAGAACTGATAGTCAGAGAGGCTTTGGCCTTGTGTAGGTGGACTAACAAAAACAGAACTGAGGAAAACAGGACTGAGGAAAACAAGACTAACAAACCTTTAATCAGGAAAGACTGTCCTTGAAGTCTGCTACATCCTGGACAATTGTCAAAATATGGTTTCAGGAGTCAGCAAAACATGATTAGGGTGTCCTTTTGATGAACTATCCTCATACTCTCATTATAATACTAAGAATCACAACCACAGGTCAAAACACTCCTGACGCTTTCCTGAGCATGTAATGGGAGGCAATTAGTTATGTAGCTTTATGCAAACTAGCTGACCAATTGGTAAATGGTGGAGGGTTACAGGGAGTTACTAATTTTAATTAAGTCGTACAAATATACAAAATTAAGAGGGAAAAAATTAGGGAAGGCTCCGTTGTAACTGGTGGCATTGGTCAGTGGGCTGAACCTGTCTTCTCCCCCCATAGGGTAACCTACTGGGTAAGAGCTATACTCTATGTGTATTTAATGATAGATTTTTAACTGGCTTTATATATGTTATTTTCACACTTATTCTAACAGTTAGTATGTTATATTGTCAATTCAATCTTCAAACCTTAAGCCATCATAAAATTATGTAACAAAAACTCTCATCTGTGATCTATTTTCTGTGCATTTCCAGAAACTGAAAAATTGTCTTAAAAATTGACTTAAAAATTTTAACTCAGTGGGTGAATCTGTTACTGTAAATCCCAACTAGGACAGTCAAATCACCCTCCAACGTAGTGTGCTGCCCAGTGGAGCACCCGCAGAGGGCTCTGACAGGTTAACCCAGCTCCAGTGTCTCATCTTTTCCTGGGACAGTAACAAACCTGTCAAACTTATGGGTGAGGGGGTGAAATTTTCCCCCTTACTGGAGTAAAGCCCTCCTTAACGTGACAGCTTGTCACATCTTGCTCGGTCCAGCCTCATCTTATTCTGACATCAGTGGCGCGGGAGCAAAACCCACAATCCATGCCAGGCTGCAGGGCAGTCCCGTCCACGCTGGGTCTCCACCTGGAGCTGGCTAGGAAAGAAGCCAAGGAAAGACCAAGTATGCAAGTCTGCTGCTGGGGTTCACCAGCAACCCTCCCACCACGGCTGTTTAACTCTTCTTGTTCAGATTAAGGAACTCAGGAGAGCTTCATGTGGACAACTACTACAGGTCGAGTAGTGCATCTTCTTCCCACTTCATTTCCCACGTTCCTTCTCAGCCTGCTCTTCAGTTATTGGGGTTTGCTGCTGGGTGTGCTGGAGTATGGCTGGTCCTTGGTCAACAAAGGCACAAAGGCAGAATTGAAACCATGTAGAAGTGGTTTGCTTTGCATCATGAGCTGCAGCTGTTTCTGTTAACAAACACCCCTGTGTTCATGGACTGTCATTGCCTCCAACACCCTGTCAGATGCTGTCAGCTTACTATCGCTCCTCTGTGATGAGCCCAAACCCAAATGCTCAAAACCAAGCAGACAAAACCCCTCTTGCCTTGGCTGCAAGAGCAAGGGATTAATGACAACCAGGCATGCTCAACCTTCACAGGCTCCCTCCCATGTAGGTGAGGTGTTTGGATCAGGCCTGAACGGCACAAAGGAGCAAAGACAGAGCTGAGAAAGCCATGTTTTATTTTTTTCTTTTCATCTTATCACCTTTCCAGCTTTGGGAAGTGCCAGGCATTTCTGGTCCTTTGCCCTCCCATCTTTCCTCTGGCTTGCAGTGGGGACAGAGATTGGGATATGGGGGTGATGTTTATTAAATGAGAAACTTGGCTACAGCAGGATGGAAAAAAAATTCAATTCTGGTATGTGGGAACCAGCCCAGGTCAGATGGGAGAGCTTTCTGTCAAGGAAGCAATAGGAGCAGCCTCCAATGCCTCAAAGACTTCATGAAATTATACCTGGAATTATACCTGATCTGGCTGGGTAGAGGCTGAGAAGCAGAAGCCCCACTTTCTGCTGCCTCCACATGCTGTGAGATTGCTGCTCCTCTCCTTGCACATCTCCCAGAGTCAGCCCTGTCTGCCCCACCACGACTCCTCACTCTGTCCCACCACCCTTAGCCCCACTCCACCCCATGCTTTGCTCGCCTTTCACACAAAAAGGTGTGCTCATCCCTTCCCTGCTCATGTCCTCTCACCTCTCATTACTCCATCCTGCCCAGCAGCTTCCCTCTGAGCCCCAACAATCCACACTTGAATATTCAGCTTTTAGGTCATTTACTCTGTCACCTCTTTTCCATAAAGGGAAAATTAACACCATAGGGCTGTAAACAGCCAGAACCCTTTACTGCAGCCACTTGCAGAATTACCAGAGATGTGTGAAAATACCAAGGAAGTGTGAACCAGCCCACTGTCATTGCTGGAAAATCCTTAAATCCATGGATCTTGGAGCAACCCAGCACAGCACAGATGGTATGCAAGACCTGGTTCATGTTTTCACCGTCATACCTTCAAGACAAAGCCAGGCAAGGTGGTTGAAGCCACTGCAGATGACCTAAAATGAAACCAAATACACCAGAGACACCCAGCATGAACTCCTGTGTTGGCATATATTGCTTGTACCACATCTGTTCTGCTTGGGAATCCTGTAGCAGTAACTAAGGGCTGGGATCCCTCCATCACCACTGTGATCCCAGCTGCCTTCCCAGACACCTTGCCTCAAAAGCCCACACATGCCAATATTTATCACCAAGGAAGCAGCAGCCACATTTCATTCAATGGAGGGTGATGCCGGTTGGTTTTTAAGGCTCTCAAGACAAGGAAGAACCATTGTCCTACTGGAATCACAGACTGAACAGCCATCCAGGCACCATCTCTGTCATCCATGGGCCTCCCTTAACTCAGGAGAAACACCACCAACCTGGACTTGGCATTTGCCAGTGATGTAAAATCTCACACATTCCTCACCGGGGTATTTTGCTTCCCAGTGATCAATTACCTTCTTGCAAAAAACCAGCACTTTATCAGCAAATGTGTTACCCTGCTCCTTCCCCTTCATTTTATCTCATTTTATCAGTATCTTCCAGCCTGCAGAGCCCTGAGTTGTCAAGTTTTAACTCCCTAGGTAGATGATCCTAAAGCAGGAGAATTTAGGATGCTCCTAAATGGAGTCACTTCTACCTCTCCAGTGATGATTGACATAGGTCAGGCCTTTTGTTGCAGCAGGACAGTTTTTTGGCAATGTGCTCATCTGCTTTTCATGCCCTTCTGGCAGCAGTTAGCCAGAGCGCTGCCCTCCCAGACTTGCTGGCAGAAAGGAAACATAACAGACCCCAAATCCACGTGGGGCTGACGCAAGCCCTTATCTACAGTGGGCTACACTGGCTGATGCACTCTCCTCAGCATGGTTGCATGCCCCAGCACAAATACACCTCCTGTTGCTGCTGAAAAATGAAAGAAAAAACACAACACTGACAGACCTTCTTGCACTTTGGACGCTGCACACAGGCTTCCTTTAGGGGATCCAGATGAACTGGATCCCTGAAAAGCTACCTGTTCCAGCCCTCCACTCTCAGATCCATATGAATCTTACCAACTGCTTGTTACTGTCTGACCAGCAGATCTTTCCCAAACACACCCAACTTGCTTGCAGCCAGCTTGTCTGAATATGGAAGCTGTCCCAACAGCTGTATTGCCTGCAGATCTCTTTTCTCATGCAGTAAATGATAAATTTTCTCTTCAGGACCAAAGAAAGCATTCTTAGGATCCCACCGAAGCATATCTGGATGACAGCAGCTCTCCTGTGTAAACCCACTACATGAAACTGTCACCTGTAGCCAC